CATCTCTTGGTATTGTCTGCGCTCACATCCAAATCCTCTAATAATCGCGGCGTCTTGGACTGTTGCTGAAGTCTTTTTATCATCCATTTGTTGTCCATTTAATAACAGACCTGAGTGGCTCTGGACTGAAATAAACACTGGGGGCTGCTAAGGCAGGTGGCCGCCCATTTAGTCGTCTAAAATTAGAACAAGAAGCAGACCCTTTTTAAGTGGCATTTTCTAGACGTTGTAGAAATAGAAGTGAAGGATTAATAAAAAGGTCCAAAAAGCACAAAAGACGTCAGGGTCCGGCACGGCATCTTCTCTGTTATACGAGTCAGAGCAAGAGGTTCCTTATTGTACTGAAAAAGAGCTCACATGCTGAGCTGAGGCTGTGCAGCTCAGGTGATGTCTCAATCAGCTCACTTGAAAAGGCCCGATCTGCTGCCAGGGCTTTTGTTCCGTCCAGAGTTTGCTACCTACTGGGAGTCTCTGCAAGTCTTGTTAAATTTGCAATGAAGCCGCCTCTGATCTGTTGAATCTGCACGATTAGTCCCAGAGACAGTTGATGAAATCAATAGTAACAAAATGAAGATGTTTTCTTGAAATTTCACAAATTATTCTTGTTTCGGCTTCTCACATCTTCTCGCTTTGAAGTGGTTTGGGGTGTGGCGGTCCACTCGACCTCTAACATTCCCCCCTTACAGCAGGAGCACACACATAATTGGCTACAATGCATGTGAATGACTCACATATAAACAAGCATGATGGGTGAAATGATTCATGTTTCACTTTATTGTTTTGACCTTTCAGTTAGCCCAAAGCTGAACGCAGAGTGAAATGACTTTGTAAAAATATGTTATTTTACGAATAACTTCACTGCAACTAAACTGAAAACAACAACAAAAACTGCAAATGTTTTGTTGGATATTTTGTGGTTGATTAACTGAATTTTAGATACAGTCCTATATTTTATACTTTGTGACTGACTGTAATCATTTACTTTGAACAGTAAGAAAATCAACAAGTCACTATTTACAGCCGGTTCGGATGTCATCAGTCCATTAAATGGACGTTATTAGCGGTTATCATCCCATAGAATGGCTTCAGACTGTCCCAACTGTGGCGTCTAGTAGGTTATCAGTCCCATAGAATGGCTTCAGACTGTCCCAACTGTGCCGTCTAGTAGGTTATCAGTCCATAGAATGGCTTCAGACTGTCCCAACTGTGCCGTCTAGTAGGTTAACAGTCACATAGAATGGCTTCAGACTGTCCCATCTGTGCCGTCTAGTAGGTTAACAGTCACATAGAATGGCTTCAGACTGTCCCATCTGTGCCGTCTAATAGGTTAACAGTCACATAGAAGGGCTTCAGACTGTCCCAACTGTGCCGTCTAGTAGGTTATCAGTCCCATAGAATGGCTTCAGATTGTCCCGACAGTGCCCCCTAGTGGGTTACCAGCGCCATATACATTGAAATGCAACAATCTGCTACCGCCGGAGTCCGGTCTACTTTATCGTAGCACATGTCATTTTCTGTAAAATTAACCTTAGTGGCTTTATGCCTCATACTAACCAGCTGACAGTCTGAAGCCATTCTATGGGACTGATAACCGCTAATAACATCCATTTAATGGATGATAACATCCGAAGTGGGTGCTATTTACCGTAACATATGCCTCACTCCATCAGTGTAAACACAATGTTTTACATTTCAGGAATGTAAAACTTGTTTTAGGAGTACTTCCTGTTTGACATCATACTGTATCATATGAGTGTGACCGAGTTTATGTAGGTATCCTGATATTATCAAATATTTAGTCAGAAAACACAATTCTAAGCGATACCCACAACAATACAGCCGTGGAAACAAAAGAAAAACTCAACCTCATTCAGGGTTTTATCAAGTCATAATAAAAATCATCTGGGGCCTCATGTATAAAGTAGTGGGCAGCTTTCACACTAAAAGTTGGAGCACGGAAAATTTTTGTAAAGTGCGCCGCACAAAAAAAATTCAGATGTATAAAACCGTGCGCACGCATGTTTCTGCAAACCTTTTCTTTATACATCACAACGAACGTGGAACTAGATTCCTCCCCTGACACGCCTCTATTTAAATATGTAAAATACAAGCAGTGTGTCCAGCGTGTGTTTCTCCTCATATTCTCCTCTCTGCGCGATCAGAAATGATTTCTAGATGCAGGAAAATAATGAATTAAATGAAGAATGAGTGAGAAAACTGTCTAAATAAGTAGTGGAGTGTAGAAATGTGTTTGACCAGCAAAAGAAAAGAGATTGTGTAGGTGTGCACGCACGCGCCTGTGTGAAGCTGCTGTCTTCAGAGGTGCATGAGACTGAGAGACCTTTCCATCTTCACACGTCTTTAATAAATGAGTGTAAACACAGAGGAACTTATGCATTTGGTAGAACTTTATTTATGAAATATCATGGGCATAACCGCCATAGGCACCGGGTGGGACATGTCCCCCTGACTTCCAATATCTGTGCCCCCCCACACACACACTTTTTTCAGCCGAAGCAGAAAAAAAGGCCCTTTAAAAAAATGTGTACCCCCACTTTTAAGATGGTGATTACGCCCTTGGAAATAGTCGATGTGAAGAAACGAGTCGCAGCACCGCAAGTTTCTGCCGCGTTGTGGGTAGGTCTGTCACGATAGTCAATAAATCAATTAATTGCACAATAAGTTATTTTGAGGTCGGTAAAAAAAATGAGGACGATAAGTTTCATTTTCCTGCTTGTTGGTTTACTTCGTCTCTCTCCCTCTTTGTGCTCCGCTACACAGGGGCTCAGCTGACTCCTCCCCTCCTGTTTTCTTAGTGTCGGGAGGAGTGAACTCTCGC